AGTGTTATTTTGGAATGCTGGAAGTGTCCAAGGCTGGGAGAGCTGGGAATGTTCCCCTGGAGAAGAGAAGGCTCCAGGGAGAGCTGAGAGCCCCTGGCAGGGCCTAAAGGGGCTCCAGGAGAGCTGGAGAGGGACTGGGGACAAGGCCTGGAGGGACAGGACACAGGGAATGGCTTCCCTCTGCCAGAGGGCAGGGTTAGGTGGGATATTGGGAAGGAATTGCTGGCTGGGAGGGTGGGGAGGGGTTGGAATGAATTTCCCAGAGAAGCTGTGGCTGCCCCTGGATCCCTGGAAGTGTCCAAGGCCAGGTTGGAGCAACCTGGGATAGTGGAAGGTGTCCCTGCCCATGGCAGGGGTGGCACTGGAGGTCTTTAAGGTCCCTTCCCACCCAAACAATCCTGGGATTCCATGATTCTGGATTCCCTCTGCTCTGGAGCCAGGCTGGGAGAGCTGGGAATGTTCACCTGGAGAAGGGAAGGCTCCAGGGAGACCTGAGAGCCCCTTGCAGGGCCTAAAGGGGCTCCAAGAGAGCTGGAGAGGGACTGGGGACAAGGCCTGGAGGGACAGGACACAGGGAATGGCTTCCCAGTGCCAGAGGGCAGGGATAGGTGGGATATTGGGAAGGAATTGCTGGCTGGGAGGGTGGGGAGGGGCTGGAATGAATTTCCCAGAGAAGCTGTGGCTGCCCCTGGATCCCTGGAAGTGTCCATGGCCAGGTTGGAGCAACCTGGGATAGTGGGAGGTGTTGGGGTTGGAACTGGATGGTTTTTAAGGTCCCTTCCAACCCAGCCCACCCTGTGCTCCCATCATTCCATGAAAACGGCTCAAACCTTTCAACCTGCCCCTGGAATTGCCAGCTCCTCTTGGATCCTGGTGCTCAGCTTTGGGTCCCTCAGGGTGGTGGCTGTTGGGACCCCGCCGACCGTCAGCAGCAGGAGCAGCTTCCCTGGAGCCGAGAGGGGGAAAGGAGGCCTGGTTTAAACCAGGAAATGATTCCTGGCTTAAACCAGGACAGGATTCCTGGCTTAAAAGGGGAATAAAAAAAGCAACTGCAGCATCACTGATGTGGCAGCAGCCACACAACCGGGCCAAGAGGGAGAAATTCATCCCAGCACTTCGCTCCACACAAAACCTTCCCACAACCCTCTCCCAGTTTCCAGCCAACGCCACGAGCACATTCCTCAGTTTTCATCTCCCGATTGAATTCATCCATCACACGGGCAGGTGGATTTCCAGCTCCAGCTCCGAGATCAGAATTCCAGCTCCGAGATCAGAATTCCAGCTCCTCGTTCCTAACTCCGTGGCTCGGCACTGCGGGGAAATAATTCCCCTCTTGGTGAGGAAAAAAATAGGAATTTCCTCGGAAAAAAGCGTTTTCGTGACGAGACAACCCTTGAGGAGCACCCAAAGCACCTCTGGCCTGTTGTGGCTCCTGCCAAAAAAGCTCCTCAAAGCCAAAAATCTGGATGATCTGAGGCCCTCCTGGTGAGAACAACCTTGTTCCCATAAAGGCTTCCCGTTCCCATCCACGGACTATTCCAGTTTATTCCAAGAAAAGTAAGGAAAAGGCCCTTAATAGTGGATTTCTCTGGCAATGCTGAAGACATTCCGTGATGTTTCTGGTCTGGGTGAGAGAAAGCAGTTGGAGATTTATGGATCCGGGAAGGAGTTCCAAGGATTATCCGCCCCGCCCTTTCCCAAAGGAATTTCGTCCTGTCGTTTTTTTCCAGGTGTTTTTGTGATAATCCCGCGATTCAAGAGGTGAAGAAAGTCAGTGGTTCACTGGTGGTTTAATAAATCCATACAATAAGAAGAATAATGGGATATTCCCATTATTTATCCCCTGAATAATGGGATAAAACAGGGTGGCACTTCCACGAAAACAGGTAATTATCTTTCCTGAAAGAGCAGAAAACCAGGAAAACTGTGGGAGAACATTCCACTTGACAAGTGCAAAGGGAATGCAGGTACCCAGGATTTTCTAGTCCAAGTGTCATAGGGAATTTTAATTTAGTTAAGGTTTCTTGTCAAAGCACTCAGTGAGAATAATGTCAAAAATAAGTGGGATAAGTGGAGCTCGTGAGGTGAACCCACCTCTCCTTCATCCTTTAAATTAATTTGGATAATGTGCCTTTAGTCCTTCCCTGAAAGCCAGGGAGGACTAAGTTAAAAATATATGAAATTAATTAAAATTAATTAATTAATTAATTAAAAAATAACCAGAGGACTATTCCAGGTGAAGCAGATGAGGCTCTTACTCCACCCCCAAATAATGAAGGTTCAGTGACAGATTATGAAGTTTTTACTCTCCAAGTCACTGAATTTTTTGCTCCTTGCTGGAATGAGCTTCCACATCCTCACAAACACTTTTCCTGGGAAAAGTGAGCGATGAAATCCAGCAGAAGGGACCTAAAGGGTTGATCAGTGCCTGTGGTGCTTTAAAACACAGATTTAAGATATATTAATTAAGATATAGTGCCCTGCAGGGCAGTGAGAAATTAGGGTTAAACAGTGAGAAATTAGGGCAAAAAAAAGAATCCCTCATTTTATGAGTCCAGCCTCAAAAAATCCCCTGGGAACTGGGTATGGGAAAAAACCAGGTTACTGTGGGTTAATTTTAAGGAGAAGAGCAGGGAAAAGAAGGATTAACGAGCTGAGGAAGAAATGGTGCTGTTCCCACCACGAGCTTGAATGAAAACTGCCAGATTGGGAAAATAATGCCAGAAATTAGGGGTTGGATTTGGTCATCTTGGAGGGTTTTTTTCAGCTTTAATCAGATTATTTCACAGTCCCTGGTCTTGGAAACCCACAATTCCTTCAATGTGTTGCCTGGAGGGACAATCCATTCATGTTGTTACCCCTTGATGGTTTTTTTTTTTAGTTTTTTTTAGTTTACTCTTTCTCCCATTCCAGGTGTTGAAAGCATAAAATCGGAGAGAAACGACAAAAAAAAAATAAGAAACCGCCTCAATACTAAAAAAAATATTAAAAATATCACCATAGGCTGTCCTAGAACATTTCAGAAACGTGAGGGGCTTTCTCACCAATATTTCAGAGGCTTCTACTCAATAGCATTAAGCCGATTTCTTCCAAATTTTTTCTCCTATTTGCCTTGCAAAAGGATTAAGGAATTTTGCAAATGCACCAAAAAAAACCCCAAAAAAACAAAAAACCAGATTAGCAGGGGGTTTTTTTCCATCTCCTCACAGTTGTTTTTCCACCGTGTCACGAGCGGTGCCAAATGAAAACACTGCTGAAGTGAAAACCCCCCCGGCGTGGTGTTTTATTTCCAGGATAAATCTGGAAAGGCAGATTTGTTCCCATATGCCGAGGGTAGGACCTTTACAACTTCACACTTGTTTGACTCCTGGGTTTTGCCTCCCTGCAATTTATTTCCTCTCGGGAGCTCCCTCTGTTCCCCTTCAGCACATTCCAACCTCATCCATATCCTGGGATTCTGTGAAATTCAAATTTTTCCGTCCGCGGTAAAATTTAAAAGAAACACCTTTTTTTTTTTGGCAATTTGAATGACAACTACTAAAACCAGCCAAAGGGATATTTTGGGAGCGTCTCAAGTGATTTCTTTTCTTGCCAAACTTAGAAAAGGCACCTTTTAATCTTAATTTTATCACTCCCCTTCGATTCCCAGATAGTTAAAGACACCAGAAGGATCTAAGCTCGGAGGTTATAAATAGAGGTGAAGGAAGCATTAGTTATTATTTTTTTTTTTTAGAAATAATCAAAGAGCTGTTGGCTCTCACATCACAAAAAAGGACGGATTTAGAGCGTTGTCTAAATTTAGAAGCGTGGGTTTTTTCACAAGGTAGGTCTGGTGCTTTTAAAGAAGGAATTTTAGGACAGCCAGGTTAGCTAAGAATTCTCCTTAACAGAAAAAAGGCCTGGGGTGGAAGCTTATGAAGACCCTCAGCATTTCTCGTTGCTCTGATTTAATGTGAAAAGCAGGTTATTCGGGTTATTTCAGGAGGTTGTTTAACAGTGATTTTTACGAGGGGTGAGAACATCCAGGTGAAAATGCAGGGCGTGGGATTTAAATGCATAAATATGCATTAAAAGATGTATTTAAATGGGCAGGGACACCTTCCACCATCCCAGCTTGCTCCAACCTGGCCTTGGACACTTCCAGGAATCCAGAAGCAGCCACAGCTTCTCTGGGAAATCCATTCCAGCCCATGGCAGGGGGTGGAAATGGATGATCTTGAAGGTCTTTCCAACCCAAACCCAATTAGATTCAAGGCCCAAAGGCCTTTAAAGTAACAAATACCCCAGTGCCACTAAGAAATCAGGCCCTGTCCCAACACACTGCTCATTGCAGGCAAGGTTTTTCTACTCTACATCTTCAATTTTTCCTTTCTTTAGTTCCTTCTTATTAATAATACCTAATAAATAAAACTCCCCCGCTGCAAGGCCTCAAGCTGTTATTGTTTCACTGTCAAGCAACCAACTGGTGCTCGTTCCGTTGGAAATTTGCATCTTGGAAGCAAAAATAATATATAAAAAAGGGTGAAAAAAGGAGATATCTCTGCAAAGAAGTCCTGCCTGATAGGTAAGGAAAACATGGATTCGTGTGGCAGCCCCAGTGTGGGCACAGGGTAGAGGGCACTGGGGAAGTCACACCTGGAATCCGGTGTCCAGTTTGGGGTCCCTCAAGTCAGGACACGGAGGGGCTGGAGCGTGTGCAGGGAAGGGAAGGGAGCTGGGAAGGGGCTGGAGAATTCCTGAGGGAGCTGGGGGGGCTCAGCCTGGAGAAAAGAGGAATCAGGGGGGACCTTCTGGCTCTGCAAGTCCCTGACAGGAGGGGGGAGTCAGGGGGGGTCGGGCTCTGCTCCCAGGGAACAAGGGACAGGAGGAGAGGGAACGGCCTCAAGCTGTGCCAGGGGAGGGTCAAATTGGATATCAGGGAAAATTTCCTCATGGAAAGGGTGGTCAGGCATTGGAAGGGGCTGCCCAGGCCGTGGTGGAATCACCATCCCTGGAAATGTTCAGAAAAAGTGTGGATGTGGCACTTGGGGACACAGGTTTGGGCTTTGCAGGGCTGGGTTAACGCTCAGTCTCGATGACCTCAGAGGCCTTTTCCAACCTTAATGATTCCATGATCCTAATATCTGGGGGAATTTGCTACTCTTGGTAACTGGTCCATGTCTGGCTGGAGATGTTTAGAAGTTGTCTCTTTGTGTTCAGTGAACTCAGTAAATACTTCCCAGACAAGCCACGACAGGATGAGAGGAAGTGGCCTCAAGTTGTGCCGGGACGAATTTTAGATTGGATATTAGGGAACATTTCTTCATGGAAAGGGTTGTCACAGGCTGCCCAGGGCAGGGGTGGAGTCCCCATCCCTGGAGGGGTTTAAAATCCCTGTGGATGTGGCACTTGGGGACATGGCTTAGGTGTGAGGGCGACAGCGCCGGTTAAAGGTTGGACTCCGTGATCTCCGAGGTCTTTTCCAACCTTTAGGATTCTGTGAATCCACGACTCCAGAATTCCAAAACTGAAAAGCAAAATCACATTGAAGTCAAGAAGGTGACAAAACAAAAGGACCTTCAAGACAAACCCATGGAAATCTGCTCACAGCAAGGAAACCCAACCTGAGGAGCCTCAACCCCATGGACCAGGAGCTCCAGGGAAACTGGAAAGGGTCAGAATTTCCTCCGACTCAGAAAAGCGAGACTTGACGCTATAAATCCTCCTCTCAGTGCTGCTGCTCTTGCTCACTCCAGCTCTTTCAGCAACATTTAGAAGAAATCAAGAAATTAATCATGAATTAAAAGCCTGATGTGACTGTAACTTCAACCCAAGGCCTTATTTATTACCCTCAGACACTCAGACAGCTCCTGAGAGCCCTCAGAGCAAACCCAGATGTTCCATGAGACAAAGAGACATCAAAATCACTTTGATTACAAACTCTTTCAGCAACATTTAGAAGAAATC